CATCACTTCATCAGGGATACTGGATTGTTTGGTCGAAGACTTGAATGAAGACCAGAACTTTTTGCTGTTTGATTTCAACAGATTGGGCAAACCCTGAAACCAATCTTTACGTTTTTCAGCTATCAATTATTTGGCTTGTCGTCTCAAGGTTCGAATTCGAAATTTTTCATGAATGTTAAGTTTTCCAGTCTTTTTGGCCTTACGCCGGGCAGTTTCTTTTTTCTTTAGAGGGTGTTTAATTTCGTTGTCTAGCCAAGGAGGCGTTTTTTTTTTTTACGTTTAAAGGTCTTTACTGGAATATGGTCAGCTACTGCACCAAGAGCCCTGGGGGACACCATATTCAATCTGCTTGCTTTCAGAAGCCTCTCCATTTATTGTGGTGTACTGTTTTCGATCTTGTAAATATTTCATGATCCATTCATGTAGTTTACCCGAGATTCCACTTGCATGTAGTTTCATTGAAAGTTTTTTATGGCAGATGCTGTCAAATACTTTCTGGAAGTCAACAAAAATTGCACTACTATTACTTTTCCATTGTCTAAGGCTTGTTTCCATTTTTCTGTCATATTCAGCATTAGCTGTTCTGTGGATTTTCCTTTTCTAAAGCCGCACTGACTGTTACCTATCAAGTTGTTATCATTTAGATGGTTATCAATTTGTGTACAGACCGTACTCTCTAATAGTTTACCAAGTATGCTAAGTACAGAGATAGGGCGATAATTGCCACATTCGAGTGTGCTTCCTTTCTTGTGGGAACATCGAACACGTGCAGTTTTCCACTGGGTTGGTTTAGGTACAGGCTGACCCAAACCTTCATTTCATCCACAGTGACCGGATACCAGACGGATCGTTCTTCAGGTCCTCTTTTAGTTCTGCCTATAAATTGGTTTGTTCAACTAGCAACTGCCATAGTTCTTCAGTAAAGAAGTCGACCAAAGAAGTCCACCAATAACCTAGCTCCATTTTCTGCCTTTAAAGCACACACAACCCACAATTCCTCTATTCGTTCCGACGAAGTACTAACGCTCGAAACGTCAGCTTTTGTAATCGTTACGGTGGCCAATTTACCATTTCAACTTTGTTGATATATCCAAATTATTTCGTTACTCCCACCGACGCAGCCCCAAAAAGTTTCCTTCGAAACTATCAGCCTTTATTCTTCAGTAAAGAGCAGCAAAAAGAAATCCAGGTAAGATCGAAGGTTTTCCGAATCAACATTTATTCCAACCTCTTTTTGAAATTGTACATCTTCCCTACGATTGATTCCCTCAGACCAGTCATTTTCCTCCACATCCTCACCCATTTCCTTGTCTGTGTCTTCGTGAGAGGTGGGATCATCCGAATCCTCTTGGCTAGATTCCGACTCATCTGAGAAGAATTCATCCTTAGAGACTCGGTGCTCAGTGAAATAAGCCAAAGGAAACTCGTCTTCGTCTAAAAACGGAATATTTAAGCCCTTTTGACGGCTTCTAGAGTTAGAATCTAACGGAGCATCATTCCTTGTAGCCGCCATTTTAAAATCACCCACGTACACAATGTGTTGACAAAAAACCTAGATAATTTCGTTCAAAGAGTGCCAAATTCGGCTAATTTTGAATAACCCAGCCTAAGTGCAGGCGGACTTTCCTTCGTTCCTTCGTAAAGTCCTTAACGAAGGAGCGAAGGAAAGTCCGTCTGCACGCAAGCTATGTATAATCCAGCAATATTTTTTATGTAAGCTATCCCAAAACGATCTATTAGTTTCCAGGCCCTAAAATGTGACCATAGGGCTCGCTGTAAGTGAGGCTGTATTTATCTGGACATGTGTGCCTACTTGGCATGTTGAGGGTTTAGCGTAATTATTACTTTAGGGTAAAGTAATCTTAGTTAACGACGATTCACCTTGATAGAGGTGGCTAGTGGTGGGTATTCGCCGAGCCACGAAGCGGCCAGGTAACTTTCTATAACTAGCCACTGATACTGAAACAGTGAAGATAATATAGCACAAAAAGATGATTTTACTGTACTCATTTATTCCTGCTAAGATCATACTGAGACTACAATATTTTCGGGCGCAAATCTCGCTGGAGTTTTCGGAGGTAAATAGCAGAAGATATTTGTATTTTGAGTAGCCAATCAGAGCCCGCCTTTAAAGCTATCCTCTGTTTTAGCATATGCTAATTCTATTAGTTTCGCCTTTTTTCCCGGCCGCGGTGACTAGTGCAGATAACTCGCGTTATTTCTTCAATTTGTCAATCGCGTCCCTTCCTGTGTACAGTGTAACTTCGATTTAACGAAGTGCCAAGGGATGAAGATTGGTTCGTTACATCGAGGTTCTGTAGCATACATTTTACTGTAACTTTAGCCGGGCTGAAACTGAAGCATCGTTCGTTATACGTCTTATACCGATGACTTCGTTGTATGGAGGTTTGTTAAATCAAGGTTCCACTGCATTTGCTTTAAGCTCTGATTGGTATTTTCATTTATTTTTGTTTTGATTGGCCGTTAAGATGATTTGTATTTTTTTAAGAAACGCAATCGAAATTTCCCTTTATTTATGAGTTTCCTTCTTACATTCCCCCTTAACTTGACAAGTACTTTAGATTCTATTTCTTCACTCTTATTCATTCCCAAAAGATGTAATAAGAATGTTTAAAAAATCGCTTACAATTCGGCTAGTTCTTGTGCTAAATCGTTGCATCGCCCCGTGGAATCACCAAGCCCCTTTTTTTTTAAGTGTAGTGGAAAATTCACCCTTAGACAGGGAAATCTACTGTCGGTATGGAGGTTGGATCTATTTTTTTTATTCCCATCCCTTTCTCCCCCTTATACAGATAGTAGTATTCCGAGGTTTTGACCTCGCTCTTGATAAATGACTAGACTGAATTTACCGAGACATATGACGCAACCACTTTTGGCGAAAAAGAGAGATTTTACACAGTCTAAAGGCTGAGTCTTTCCGCTACTTATTCAAATCCATTCAATACAAATCCGCTTTGTGAATTTTTATCTTTCTGAGCTTATATTTGATATTACATCGCATGCAATCTATAAAGAAATCCTTTAAACTGTCTGCCTGGGTAAACATCATAGCAGCCGTTAGTGGTTTACATTCCAGAGCCAGAATTTCAAATAATTTTATTTAATTTACAAGAACACTTGTATGATGTGCGTAAAATGCTTTTTCGGTCTTTTCACGTGGTTTCATAGTGATGGATATTTGCAAACCATCCTGTCGAACGCATCTCGAAAACTGCAGACGAGCCAGTACTCAAGACTTTTTCCGCCTACGTGACTTTCCTGTATTTAAGACATACGAAAGCAAACCTCGGTTTTGATAAACTTTGGCCTTTCGTGAAATGCTAATTAATTTAGCACGCGGTTTATCCATGCAAACACTACAAAAACGGATGAATCTATTTTAGGTTCACGCGAGGAACCAGAGAAATCTGCACGTAAGCAAAATGAACCATTTCCTGAGTTAGAATTTAGAGGCATTGTAACAGTCACTTGGATCAAGTTTCACGCTTGCAAAGATACTGCTGTCGTTACGATCGACACCGCGCTTTGCTCGGAGTTTCTTTGCAGTTAACCGCCAGAAGAGATCAATTTTTAACCTCCCTTCGCTCGTTCATTACAATATCTGGCAAGCAGGTCGAAGTTAAAGGAAACACTTATCAGCTAAAAGGAATTATCTTGCTCAAACACTTAATGATAAGGTCACGTAAAGGTAACTAAGATGAAATTGCTAATTAGATCTTGGATGCTAAAAGAAACCGACAGGGGGGCGAAAAAGAGCGTCAAAAAATAGCACTGAAAGCCAAACACTGTACGAGAGAAAATTAGAATATTTGTATAGTTGTTACTTATGTTCATAGACATATTTTCAAATCTATGTCGTGCGTCAGAGGCAGACCACTCCTCAAAGCTTTCATTTCCTGTATTTCACTGTATTAAGTCAAATTTGTGGCTGTCCTAAGTAGCCCTTTAACGTCTTTGTGAAGTGACGAATACAGAGGGGAAGAGAGAAAAATATTAATGAATCAGGGGATTATTCATTAATCCAATGCCAAATTCTCCCAAGTAACATCATAAGAATTGTATGGCAGACAGTTTGGAGAATTACTAGTAAGATCTTGGGAGTGAGATGGTTATAGAATTCAATAATATTTAATCCGGCAGTGGAGAGGAAACTATAAAAGTTCATTATTTCAAATGAAACTATTTGCAATGTATTGCGAGAACTAATCATAGGTAATAGAGCGAACACTCTATTAACTATGAACTAACTGAGTTAGGAATTTTCGCAGTAGATTCACACTTCTTTTTCTTTGTTATGCGCTTTTTTGCCGGTTTAGCGTTCCTCATTATCTTTTGGTTACAGCTTTCTTGTATCATAGCATAGATCTTTTACCTGGCGCACAAGCAAATCTAGACTGACAAGGTCAGAACTCGTGAAGAAACATTTATTCGGAGATTTCAATACTGCTGTGTCAGTGCTATTTTTGACATAAAAGCGATGGAATTTTGACTTCTAATTAGGAGTTCGTAAATCCTCTATTGATAATGTACAATATATTGAGACAAGTAGCGAATATCTCTGTAAATTTTTTATAAAAGTAATGAGTTAAGAGCGTAGACACAGACGGGCGGAATACAATATATTAAATTCCTGTTTGATAGTTGTTATTCCTTCAAAGTACATGGAGAGTGATCGTCACAAAAGGGCTCTGCTGCCAGTAGAACCAGTATGCCCAGCCCTGTCTAGAAGCCGGGCTGATTACGGTCTCGGTGTTATTCAAGCCAATTTCTTGTGATTGGTTATCTGCCAAAACCGATGCCCGAAAAAAAGTTATTTTCAGAAACAATTTTGCAAAAGTGCAGCGTAGACGAAAGGAGAACGCTTTGTAACTTTACATGGCATCTCTTCAAAGAACCAAACGTTTTCTTGATACGAAAACTAGGCTATTCTGTTACAACTTCGAGACTTATCAAATAATCTTCTGTTATGCAGAAATCTTGGGGCAAAAAGACAGAGGTAATTACATTTCTATCTTGAAAATCTTGATCAAGGTCCCAGCTAAAGGGATAAACCATTAGCAAAGAAGAATTTGAGAAGGCTTAAGCAAATAAGAAACCGCCGGCTGAATAAACTTCACAAAGTAAAATCCGATCACTGCCTCTAATAGCTATACGCATGCTCAGTAATTTGAGCTTTTAGTTACAAAATGCCGTACAAATGGAAGGAATAGAAAAACGCAAACAACAGAGGAAATGTAATCGGACAAGAAAAGACACTTACAAACGTTATATGACTTGTGGACACGAAGAACGGAAAAACTCAGAGTTGAACGCGGTAAAGAAACGATACTGACTTAACGAACTCTGATACTCAAGTGTTCAATTTTACCCACAAACTTATACAAATGAAGGTAAACAAAGCAAAATTATACGAAAAAACCTAACAGAATATAAATCGCCGTGAGTGAAACAAATGCGAAAACAATAGGAAAAATTTGCGTGCAAAATTTAAAAAATGTAATTGGTCGCGTTCGTATATACCTCTCGACACAGCAAAATTAAAGATTGATACACGCCTTCAGCTCATCGAGACTTGATTACTGTAATAGCCTATTGTACGGTCTACCGATTTGTGACATCGAAAAACCTCAACCAGAGTTAATGGAGGGAACCCTCTAAACTCTGCTCCAACGGATCCAAAACACAGCTGCCCGCTTGTTAGTCCGTGCTAAATCAAGAGACAGTATAACACCTATACTTATGAAACTTCATTGGCTCCCGGTCACAAAACGTATTCAATTCAAGATACTGTTGCTAACATACAAAGCACTAAATGACATGGCTCCAACCTACTTTGTTGAACTTCTTAGTCGATATATTCCAGCACGAAGACTCTGTTCATCAAATATAAATCTACTTGAGGTCCCAACAATTCGAACTAAAACGTATGGGCAAAGGGCATTTTCCTACGCCGCACCGTATTTGAGGAATCAACTACCTGAATGCATAAAAAACGCTGAATCTGTTGATTCCTTTAAACGCTTTTTGAAAACTTATCTTTTCAAAACTTAAGCCACCAGACTTTTTGATATCGTTCGTTGTCAAATATATGTATAACATGCACGTAATACTTCGTTAGTTTAGATAGAGTAGCGATAATTGCATGTATAGGATTTTTATTGAAATTTTGTTAATTGTGATTGTAAAGCGCATAGAGTTCAATTTTAATGCGCTATATAAGAACTTATTCTTAAATTAAATTAAATCGTAAAAGAAAAGGAAATCGCTAAATGGGAATGTAGCAGTAACAAAAAGTATTTGTTTCATAGTCAGCCGGAGAATACTCCACATTAATTAGCGAACCATTTTTGGAGTGTGCTTGAATACTCCCGGGATTTTCTTAAGCTGCCTCCCGTTCTTTAAAGTGATTTTGAGCGTTGAAGATAATACAACCCCTGTAGCCCTTCACTGCTAATATCAAAAGATCAATTCTCTGTCCTGTCTCTATAACACTTCTTGTAGTTTTAGCTGAGAGAATCAGGTGTTGTATCAGACTCAGTCCCCTGGCTGATAATTTTCTTTCTTCTTTTCTTCTCCGCACTTTTATGCTCAAAAATGTACTTATATTTTAGGGAGGATTTCCTTTTGGTCAAGTCTGAGATTGAAAAAGTTAGACAATAACGAATAATCGATC